CGCATGTATAAAAGTCATCTTTGACTTTGATGAAGGATTTAGAGTTTGGAGAGGTTTAAATTCTAAGCATTTTGAGAAAAAAACTGCAAGAACTTTTATTTTAATGGAGATATAGTCAAAGTGCATTGAGCAACAAAATTTAAAATTGTCAAAAGCCGGCTGTCTGCATATAATTTTCTCAAATTGTTGTTGACAGTTTTCTATAGCAAAACAGTTCAAAAATAAAATCGAATCCTTTATTCGTATTCTACGTAAAAAGACGCATCGGATCATAGTGAACTTGAGTTGACTTAGAAAAATTCGAGTCTCAAATGTTTTGGCTAGTCGCCGACCACACAAAAATACAGTGGTATGTTGGATCCTTGATTAATCGGAAAACATGGATTACCTAATATGAGGATCTAGCGTATTCAATAAACTGTCACTAACTCTAGAACGTTGATGCACCGAATTCCTAGCGCTTTTGAGACGGCTAAATTACTGAGTCAACTTTGTTAAGTAGCATTTTGACCAATAAATACTCTTAAGAGCCAGTCTGATACATGGCCGTCCGACAACAGCTGTGAATTATTCATTCAATCATCTCTAATGAAAGATTCAGTTAAACCATAGTCAAATAAAAAGTATCAGATCATTTAGTTTTGCTTGTAAGAGGGAGAGTGTGAATGTGAGCATGGACATGGGCGTGGGCGTGGCTGGATGAGTAAGCGAGTGTGGGCCCGTGGATGTTCTTCTCACCTTTACCCACACCCGCACACTAGATCCTCCTGTGAAATTATAAGCTGCTTGTGTTTCTGTAATAGTAAGAAGTACAAAGGCCAAGATCTAGAATATAGTAGATCTGAACATTTAGTATATAAGCCGTAAATATCACCGCATTCCACTGAAGAAGCATATAAGAAAAACAGATTACTTTAGATGATGAATACTTATTAGACACCCTTTATACACGAATATCATTGCCTATTATAACTTTAGTTCACATGTCACTTATACCGCAAGATATTTGTTAGAAATACCTGCTGAATATAATATATTTTTTTACGGGTACATCTTTTCTTTGCACTATATAAACGTGTACCTTTTTTTTATTATGCATTACTTTACTTGAGCTGCTTCTCGCTGTCTTCTGTGGATTTGTGAATGATCTCATTGTCCGTTGGCTTGTTTCCATTTCGCTGAAAATGTCCTCAATTAAAATACTATTCCGTGCTTCATATAGATATTATTATTTTTACTTGGCAAACTGTTTTTTATATTTCTTATCAAGTTATCATTTATTGCATCTAAATGATGGATGTTTTTGTTGTCTGAATAATGCTATGTTCAAAAACGAATTCATCCATGATAAGACATATGCTTAATCTTGACCTTTTAATTCTTGCTTTTTATCGATCAATGCTGATTCTATGAAGGTATATACATGCTCTGTAAACCTATGAAGAAAACAGTTAGCCGATGTATCTTGCGTGTTTTATTGATACAATATTCAATCAGCCAGGGCTCAGAAAAGCTCGTATTAACCTTGTATGCAGTTGACTATTGATAAAATCGTGATGCTTGATATAATTATCTTAAAGGAAGGGCTATCATTAGAAATCTCTGAATCTAAACTAATTTATATGACTTTGACTTACAATGGAAATCTAAGAATAAAAATGTTGATGAACTGTGTATCTGCGTTTTACATAAGTCATGTTAGAAACACATAAATCACTCGTCGAATATTACTTTCTGTGTTGAATCGTAGCGAAGGTTTCAATACAAGTTGTATTCACTAAGAGTTACAAAAATGATTAATTGAAAGTCTCAGAAAATGTTGTCTTCTGCATTTCTTTAGTATTGTCATTCAAAATGTAGGTATATTATTGATCGCGATGCATTGTTCGTGTTTTTACTCTATACTATGGCATATAAAGCTCCCATGAGTTTTTGAGCAGAAGTATTCTCTTAGCAAGGTCTACAAAATTGAAAATTTAAAGGTGTGAAAAAATGTCACTGCTTTACGTTAATGTTAGATTAAAAAGCGATCAACTAAAGAAACATAATTACAAACATGGATTGTTTTTGTGCTTGGTTAACAGAAGAAACTGAGACTAACTCTTACACTTATATCGAATCTCGGACAAGCACTTATATTTTGTACTCTTAACAGCTATATAGATCTTAAATCATGACAAATTTTCGTTTTTCCTTAGAGGTGATATTTAGAGAATCTTAGATTTTTTATTTGAACTGCTGCAATATCCAGTTTTCTTTTATTGACTAAGGTGTATCTCCAAAGTTTATTCTTTAATCATCTCATCCGCAAAATAAACTTCATGCCATCATGCATGTCAAATGAAATACTTTTTTTTTACTATCTGTTTCTGTCAGCTTCTATTTAGTTATAGTAAAATACATCCTAGGAAAATATTCAATTCTATTTTTGTATTATTAAACAAAATACTGAACTTCATAAATTTTGTTGGAGTATATTCAGAAGTCCACAATTAATCTTTAGCATGTTATTATCATCAGGCTATGTTTAGCTAAAGCCGTTTATTTTTTTATAATACTGGTATCTCTTTATCATTGATTGGTTTAAGTGCATGATTGAGTATTGAAATTCATGGGTTGAGTATGGGATATGAAAGAAAAGTGTATGAATAGAGAGCAATTACATAAACTAATACTCGTACAATTCTCCAAAGCTTGAATGGCAAAAACTTGACGACAGTTACTAATAGTTGACACATCGGATATATTTGTGATTTTTGGTAATTTTATTTTATGATTTTTTCTATGCCATTATTATGTTCCTCTTGAATTAGAGTGCGGAAAATGATTCATTTACGTTGTGAACTATTGGTAGGAGAGGTATAGTATACATGATATGAGTTTGAGTAGGATGCAGGTATGAAAAATACAGAAACGTGTAGCTTACGTGTGAAAAATATATAAGTAAGAAGTTTTGGTAACAGTCGACTACGGATATGAAAAATAATATCTTTGCAATATTCTAGTGCACGTTGTCACTTTTTTATATCGAAAAGTACGACATTTTTATTCACACACTAAAGATTACAAGCAATGTTTTCTGTCCTACCAGTAATAATCTGTGAAAATCTATAGGATAGAGTTATGCAGTGAGTTATCCTTCGGATTTGAACCAATAATACATAGTAATTTCATGTGAGAAATAAAATCTATTCACAAATATTCGTTATGTAGATCAATAATGTAGCGTTCAAATGGCATGCTTTATTTGTAATAAAGAATTACTTTGCTAATTATATGAATTTAACAAAAATAATGACAATGAAATATTATGTATGATTGAATTGATTTGAGTACGAATTCTCAGTGCGGTATAGAAATAAGATTTAATAAATGTTTTTATGAAATGTTGATTTTTTTCTTTGTTTTTCGGTGAGTTGTACGTAGGCGGGTGAAAGCAAGACTCACACATACCTGTAATTTTGAATATGAATGTACCACATTCTAAAATTTTTAAGTCAAAAAAATAACATATCTATGATACTAAGAATCCACAGATTTAGTTCAGCTACGAATACCTTTGAATACTTGATCCGATGATTTTATTTGATTTCTTTAAATGTTGAAAAAAGGTTATGAAATGGCTCAGATTTGGTATTAAAACTCATTAATGTCGACAAATATAAAACCTTTTTTTTCAGATTCTATGAAATCTAGCAATAACTTCGAAGAGAACAATCACAGGTGAGCAGAACTGTGATAAACAATTGACAGAACAATGAGTTCTCAGCATTAAGAAATGTTATCTTTAAAACCACGGTCTAGAATTGATGCATTTCTAGTGTTTACAAGGAAAGATCCCAGATGTAAGTTTTTGTTATCAATCAACTTTATGCTGGTTTGTAGAGCTCAATGAGCTGATCATGATGGCATAGCTCGTTTGTCTCCATAGATTTTCTTTGAGAAGTTAGGTTGATCTGAGTTTCAAAAAACAAATGACTGCTAATTGTTGTTTCGGAAATTTTAATTTTTATGTTGCTTTACTTTTCAGCATTGAAAACTTTAATACTTGATGTATTCTTAATTGATTGTACGCATCTACACAATCAATGAAAACAGAAATTCTAACAACATCTAAAACTTTAATTATTTCAGTACTATTAATACTGTCGATGTACGGAATTCAACTATTTTCCAAATTTATCTAGCGCTAATTGTATATTCATCTATTGAGGACATACATTAGGATCTGAGTATGCGTGTATGTGTGATTATGGCTACAATTGTGGGACATGTTGTCAGTGTTCATGTGGATTTTACGGAAGGGAAGACTCGCATCCACACCCTTACTAAAACAATAACTGTATAGGTAAATTTTTTACTTAATAAAATTTGTATATTGACCTATCGATTTACAATAATTTATCTAGAAAATCAAACTTTTTCATTCAGAATTTAAATAAAAAACTTAGTGAAAATACTTGTTTTTTTACTTAGTTTTTATTAAAAATTACTTTGCATCGAAATCGAAACAAAGTAACAAATATTTCAAGAACGAATATTTTATTTGTGAATATATAACTTTACAATAACAAAATAGATCACAAACCATTTAGATCTTTTCTTTAGTTTCAAAAATTGACTTATGTTCTGCAAATAGCTGAAATAAACTTTCAAATCCACGTAATTAACTTTCTTATACTATAGATTTAATGAGTCAAATGAACGACAGATAATCAACTTGTTTTGTGTGATTGTTAAAAATTTCATTGCACATGATAATTTGTAAGGAATTCCGAAAGATCAACTTTTTCACTAGAGACCGCTGTTATCTTGTCATGTCCTTATATACATAACGCTTATCGTTAAATTAAAGAAAAATATATTGGATTGGTAGAATTATATGAAATTACTCATAATTGATATATTGACTCATAAAACTCTATTTAAATTCTTGTATTCATATTTTATTTTATTATATTACTTAAACTTTTTAATCAATTTTATATATTACAGTAAATATGAATTTTGTACCTCCCGATACTAAACGTATTACTGAAGCTCTTGGTGATATTACACAGGTCTAATTTTATATAATATGATTATCTCTTACAGAGTTATTTCTTGTTGTAGTTACCAAGAGATATGCAAATGGCTGTGACAAACAAACTTGACGAAAGTTTTCAACCAGTACCAAAACCTCATCATGGTGATTGGTTGAAAAATCATGAAGAAAAAGGACAAACTATGAAATCATTTGAACGTACAACATATAAAGCTGTTCCACATGCAACGTAAGTGATGACTTATTACTTCCTTCCTTTTACTGAGAACATTTCTTTTTTTTTTACATAATAGTTATAAAACTATCTATATTCAACCAGTTGGTAGTTTTAATCATCCACGGTAAAAATGAATTTTGTTGTTTCTTTTTCCAATTGAATTATTAATATGAAATTTTAGAGCTGCACCACTTGATGTTATTATTGAATTTGCTCGTGTATTTTTTTCTGGATGTGAAGTTGAATTATTACCAACTATTGACTTTTCGAAAGATATGAAATATCGAGAAAATCATGGAATACAACAATATCGAACAGATGGCTTTTATAATTATTTGTCTGAAACACGTCATAAACGTGATGCAAAACGAGAACTTTTATGTGTTGCTGTAACTATGGCTGATATTTATCCTGATGAAAGTTGGAATTTTGTTTATGGACAAGCACGAGCAATAGATGGCGTTGGTGTTTATTCATTTGCACGTCTTGATCCATTATTTCCAGCATCACCACAAACATTACTTTCATCTCCATTAACTGATGAACATCGTGTAATAATGCTTCGACGTTGTATAAAAATTCTTCTACATGAATTAGGACATTTATTCGGTTTAAAACATTGTATATATTATATTTGTTTGATGAATGGTGCAAATAATGAAATTGAAATGGATCGACAACCTTTATATCTATGTCCTGTTTGTTTAAGAAAACTTTATTCAACACTTCAATTTAATGTTCGAAATGTATATGAAAAATTTATCAATCTATGTGAAACATACGAACTTGAAGAAGAACGTATATGGTATCGAAAACGTTTAGATTGTATTCAAGACACTTAGAAATAATTGAAAATAAAATCAAAAATATTAAAACAAGAACAAGAACAAGATCATCTATAGTATTCTTATTAATAAACTATAATTTGTAAAATTTTCGTAAATTATTTTGAACTAAAACGATACTAAACATGATAAATTTTTTATAAAAATGAATACTAAATTTATACATTGCACCACCTACTTTTTAGTAAAGAAGAAAATATTTATTTTACATTAAACTATTATGACTTCTGCAGCCATAGAAGTCATAGATCATCACATTTACCACCCAATATAGTGTCATACAACTCGGTCGAGTATCCAGCAATCGATCAGGTCTGGACCATGAGTCTGGGTGCCGAACATCAAGAAAACTGTCGGGCGGATGAGATCTCAACGTTTTGAAGTATTTTATTAAACTGTTAAGTTATATAAAAGCATAGTATTGAAAAACGGTTCGATCATGATTGAGCAATGTATTGTACTTGAGAACAAGTCACACAAGTAGAAAGTGATATTGTCTTACTAAAAGAATTCATTTTAAATGAAAATTCATCTACGGATGATGATGAATCATATGACGAAGTAATGGAATACATGAAGAGGAGCATAGTAAGTTATCAAAAACGTGAACATGTATTATCGTAATGAAAAAAGCATTCATGTAGTATGCACTCACAATTATGAAGTTCAATACCAAGACTGCGTTCCATTCTAGCATCATCAAGAACAAGCAAACATATACTTAGCGAAATTGATCGGATTTTAGAAGCAGAAAGGCATCAGGTGAATACTGAATCATTTGATTTACTTGCCTTTTTTTAAATAGAATTTTAGATTTTCTCTGTTTTTGTCACTGTTTATGGAAGATATTAATGAGGGAAAGTACCCGAAGTGTTCCTTCAACTTCGAGCTTATATTTTGCTCACATGTAGACTTCAATATCAATAGCCAAAGTCTAAAAGAATTCGTGCCCATGGGCTGTTGAAGCTGGCTTATGACCATTCCACTGGATTTTCGATTTCAGGCAGGGCATTCATGAAAAACTCAAACGATAATATTTTTGACCTGAAATTTTGCCCATAAATAAGTCTCATGGTTATTAGAGCGTCCTAAAAGTTTCAACTAAAACGGATGCTTTATCCTCAAGATATTGGATGGCTAAAAGATGATCATATGTCCCAGAAAAGTTAGTAAATTGAATAGTTTAGAAAATTCAATATCTCAAAGATAAAGCATTCGTTTTTGCTGAAACTTTTGGGACATTCTAATAACCATGAGACCCAAGGGGGAAAAAGCGAGACTTCGTACTTCACGTACTTCACTCGTACTTCACTCGTACTTCACTCATACTTCACGGTACTTCACTCGTACTTCACTCATACTTCACGATACTTCACTCGTACTTCACTCGTACTTCATGGTACTTCACTCGTACTTCACTGGTACTTCACTCCAGTGGCGTAGCCAGGATTTTGGGCTAGGGGGGGCTCAGCCCCTCAAAAATTTTCGACCCATCTTAGGTATATGAAACTTATCTGTAAACCCAATATAGAGGTGATTTTTGTTTATTCTGATTCTTTCCTCAAAATATAAGCTGAGCTAACAAATATAAAATGGCAAAAGATGTTCGATCTTCATTCAATTGAAATAACAACAATAGATGAAATAAATGTGGAAACCTCGGATTTATATCCGAGAGTTATGTGCACTTCAAAAAGTGAATGAGACAAATCAGTCATCCTAGAATATCTGGATATAAAAATTAGCCGGGCAAACCTTTTCTATTGACACTTGAATTCAATTGGCTACTGCTCAACCAATAGGATTTGGAGGTGAATACAGCTCACATTTGAACTATTTGGTCCCGGACATACAGAAAAAAATAAAACGAATTAAGCAACGTGATTGGTCTATTTCGATTTAAATCGTCTTTTTGAGACGATTTATTCGTTAATTCAGTTTTAATTCACTTTGAATTAGTCGGTGTTCGGGGTCTTCGCCTTGATTTACTCTAAGAAAGTCGTTTTCCCTATAACTTGATTTCTATTGGTCAGTGCTCAATCAATGGAGCTTCGAGGCAAGTGGAGTACAAATTCGAGTTCTCCATCCCGAAAAACCCTGGAGTATAGCCTTTGCGATCAGAAGATAGAGCTCTAATTGTGGATCAATTAGAGCGTGGACAAGAACAGAACCGATTTCCGTTTATTTATCTTTGCAATAGGTGAGTTAGCTTCCTTGCTTCTTGATGCTTTATATACCATTTTGTAGCTCGTGAAATTCTCTGTCGAATGGTATATAATAATTGGGGTTTTATGTAACCATGATCGGGAAAGCCTTTTACAAAAGCAGGGACTGGTTGATCCTCACATAGGAAAGCATAGAGGAAAATAATTATTTTTACAATAACTCACCAATGGCTCGGACACTCATTCTCATCTTCGAACTAAACCGAGATATTGTTGGGACAAAACTGTGTAGAAAATTTCATCATGATTGAACTCTGCTTTCAAAAGTTATCACGTAAACGGCCGGTCGCTCGGTCGGACACACTGACCGATTCTAGAGTGTACTTACTTTTTGAGTACACAAAAATTTTGCTCTTGAATGGGAATAAATATGCGGTTGAACTTTCTTCTTTTTATTCTTCTTTTTTGCTCTTTTCTTGCCTATTTAAACGTATGTACTGGAATGGACGAAGAGAACTAGCTTGTAAAAATTAATTTTCTTCGTCCATTCCAGTATAAAAATTCAAATAGGCAAGAAAAGAGCAAAGAAGAAGAATAAAAAGAAGAAGATTCAACCACATATTTATTCTCATTCAAGAACAAAATATTTTAACTCTAAAAAAAACGTATTACGTTCGAAACGTTGGTTATAATATATATTGTTATATATTTATATTTACATTTATATATTTTACTCTCCATTACTATGTTAAATTTT